TACAGGAGGTCTTTTATTGTGTCCTTAAAAAAAGTCATTTTCTTGGAAGTGTCGGTGATAGTTTGTAGTTAAAAGCTTTTTCCTTTAATATACCTTTAGGAAGTGTGTTTACTTTAATTATCTTGCGCTGGTACAACGAGAAGAAGTGAATCATATTTAACTGCAAAGAAAAAAAGAAAATTGATCGTCAGTAAGAATAATGTTCTTAGAACAAGACAGTCTGCCAGACGCTAAAAGATTGGGGCAATTTATTATAGTACTCTCCTTTCTAAACAACAAGGGTGTGGGTGTAGACGTGGGTATGAGTGGGTACGGATTTCAAGAAAATCCATACCCACACCCAGTTTTAAGCATCATAATTGCAAGTTCCTTGAGATATTTTCGTTTTATGACGAAAAACAAAGAGAGAATTAAAATATATTTTTGATTGAAATAAAATAAGCAAATACTGAATGTTCAATCTTAGATAATATTGAAAACTATGTAATTTCAAAGAAACCATGAATAAACTTTCCCAAAAGGAAAAGATATCTCACGTTTGGGAAAGAAGAAATATTTTAAAGGTATACAACTTATTTTGAACAATAGACTTTTTTAAAAGCTATTTATAAAGTATCAATATATTATGCATATAGAAAACACATCTTTCATACATGTATTTTGTGAATAAGATGTGAATTCACGATGCATATATAAATTCTGTTTCATTTGATAACGATTGTGGTCATATCTGCCCTTGTGGTACATACATTTGCTTCTTAATTGCTACTTCAGTTGTTCTAAACTCTTTTCTATCATTCTACATGCATCATCATAACGACATTCTGCTCGCATTTGATGAGTTAAAAATTTCCGTTAGAGGATATCAATGGTGGCATCAGATCAAACCTAAGATGGATTGTAATATCTTTTTAAAGGTCAATATATTAATTTGAACATGTCTAGACGCGATTTAATATCGGACCGCGTCTAATCGTGTTCAGACGGTGTCTTGTTTAAAAACGTATCTCCATTGAAACAATTCTTGTCCCTACACATATTCGATGTTGGCATTTTGATACAAAAACTACTTGCATGGGTTGTCAAGAATAAAAGAAAAGTCGTTTTTGAGGGTTCTTCAAAGTGGTACTTACGCACATCCAGGAAACATTTTCAATAAAAGAATACTCTTTCAACCAGTTTTTTAATCAGATTTATCTCATAAATGGTTTAACTCAGAACTCATACAACGCTAATATAATGGTCGCAAAGTATTGTCCAGATCAAACTTAGTTAGAAACAGGCATAAAAGTGCCAAAGAAAATAAAAATAGACTGCAGAAATCATTTTAAAAAATCGATCATGATACTAAATTTTTAATGTATTTTTCTTCTTTTATCCTAGAGAAATTGTTTGATTATAAACGGAAAAAGAGGTTCCTATTATAAGGAGAACTCCTAATTTGTCAAGAATTTTATATCATCCATTCTGTTTAAAACAACTTCTGATTCTCGCTGAAATAATGCTTTTGGATCAAAACTGGAATTAGAAAATTGTTTTATATCTATAAATGCTTTCTTCAAGAAGGCATCTCGCTGTAAGCGTCATGAATTTGACGTCCAAGTAACTATCAGGATTTACACCAAAAGTCCAGAAATGCATCTCGAAAAAGTGAATACGAGAAGAAGATGTGATATTGATCGAGTATTTATATTTATCAAGCAATTTGACTTTGGTACTTAACAATGAAAAACATAGAAATATGTTTTTGTTTATATCTGTACAGAAAAACAATATTTTGAATATACAGAAGCGACATGAGATAGACGGAATTATACTCAAACTCAAATGGTTTAGTAAGTTTAGACTTTAGACCAAACTTAAACCCAACTTTTAAACGGTTTGGATTTGGTAAATTTTTAGTTTGTACCGAACGTACTTATAAATATTGAAATTGAAGTACTGAACTTATTTAATGTTCTTTATAGTTTTTTTACCATTTATTCTAATACGATGAATGTCGATTATAACAGGTACAAGAAGGAAATACTACTCAAATTTACCTCTGTTTACAGTGTTACAACATTGTTGATATGAATATGTACGGTTATGTATATCTATGTCTATGACGCGCAAATGATATTTATACATGTCAGAGCTTTGCGTGAGATAGAAAAATCCCATAAGACAAACAGCCATTTATAGAAACATTTTGTTATAAGAAAAGATGTAACTATTTTTGTCGTATAGATTGCGTTTTTGTCTATTACAATGAAGCAACGAAAATAATATTTTCTGCGGTGCTGTAAATGTTTGTGCACTATAACAATATATTGGGTGTAGTTGTGATAGAAAAAAAATACTGTTTTCCACAAAGATAAGAGCAATAAGAAGAATATATACCGAAGATGATATGATCTAATTTTATCGTCACATATCATAACCAACAGCCGTTATCGAAATTTTATTTTTATGATACCAGTCAAAGAATGATCAGAGCATTGTTTTTGCTATGATTACATATCAAGAGAAATTTGCCTCAAGCTTTCTATACGGAAATATAGTATCTCTATCACTACTTTCAAATTTCTTTCAGTAGTATAATATTTAGTATAATTACCATTGAATTTCACTTTTTCAACAACTATTTGACGAATATGACGTTCCATGAGACTATTTTTTCTGTTCCATTTCATCCCACAGGAAGTTCTGGCGCATGTGCTTCTCTCAATACAAATGAGGTCACAAGAGAATAAAAACTGTAATATCGAAATAACGACTAATTCAACATTACACGACAAAAAGCAAGTAAGTATGTGTGTACGCGACATGAAAGAGAGAGAAAAGAAATATGTTACATTAGGATATTCTTGGAAAGGAGACGAAGAAAGCGTAAGAAGAGAACCAATCCGTGCACCATCGTTCTGGAAAGAAAACACTGCACAGTTAAATCTGTATCTGTTCTTAGATGCGGCTGAGGATAAGAAAAGACAAGGAAATCAACAAGAAATAATGAATTTATATACGACACAACAGTAATAACTGATGGGATATACAGGCTGGTCCAAAAGTCTTTTTGAAAAGGAAAAAAATCTGAATATCTCTGCTCTATTTTTATCCAATGGACTGATTTTTTACCACTAATAACAGAGTGTTGGTAGGTGATATTCATAAGAAAAACATTGGCAAAGACTGCTTTGGATTATCATCGTTGACTTCAATAAAGAACTGTAACCCGTTCACAAATTATGGAATAATTATATTGTAGTTTTCATAATAAATTCTTACGATTTATAGCTGAAAACTTCAGAATACAATGAATAATAAGGTGTGTATCAGTAGTTTAAATTTTACACCAAACGACACTTCTATGAAAAATTAATAGAAAAAAAAATCTGTATAGCTTACTTTTGGATAAAGAAACCATTAAATTGCTTTTCATAAGTCGTGAAAGATCACAATTCTTTATTGAGGTTAACGGCGTTATTTCCAAGGAATGTTTGTCAATGTTTTTCTGATGAGCATAACCTATCAACATTCTCTTATCAGTCGTAAAAGCATCAGCTCATGTAGTCAAAGGGTGTGGGTGTTTATGTTAGACTCTCCTCTTCACCCACACCTACACCGCCCCACACACCGCACACGCACACTCACACCCACACCCACACCCACACTCACACCCACACTCGCACCCACACCCATACCCACACCCACACCCACACCCTTGTGTTCTATATTTTTTCATGCTGTATTTCGTAATATTTCTGTACTCAATTTATATTGTAGTATCGGATAAATATTTTGCTTTTCTTCCACCAAAGATAAAGGAATCTTCTTCAATGCAAAATTAATTAGTAGTCAGCTTTTGCAATTATCATACACTTTATTTGCCAGAGTGTTTTGCATTCAAATCGCATCCGACATCTGTGGGTAGATGAGAATGAAGTTCAAATGTTAGTCATTGAGTGATATGAGATGAGTCATAGAACGTATTGCACCATACTTATGTAACCTTTGCCACGTAGTCAAAATATAGAAACTATATATATTATGTGATTCATTCCTCACTGCAAAGCATTCATATGCAGTTTCAATATAGGATAACAAAAATTGTTGAAGTTTTAAATTGGTAAACCGATCGAAGTACCACTAATAAGATATGAGTTCATCAAATCAAAAGTCAATCACCGATTCTACTCAAAAACCAAAACCATTACAAGTATTTATATGTGGACCTTATTCAGCTGGTATGTTTACTTTAATCACTTAATAATTCTTAATTTTAGAGTTAATCAAACATTCAACAAGAATCTTACTTTTTTTGCGATTAATTACTGCTAGAACGACATCCATCTCAGATTTGTTATCAAAGCAATTGCCTACTCAGTATTGAGTGAAATCAAGAGCAGTAATTCTCTTCATTATCCCGTTCATTATATTTTAATAAAGACTCCACGGGAGCTTTTCATGCATGCAGACGGAAACATAAAGTACCAATTTCTAGAAGGACAACAGTTATCGTATAGAAATACTGTTTTCATTTTATAGAAGTTTCAACATTTACAATAATGAAAAGAAAATTTTCTTCTAAACAAACATCTATTAAAAAAGCATTATACAGTAGAGTATGAGAGATACTATGAAAATTATTATCCATATAATATTAATTTAGGTTGCTGAAATGTTTTTCTCACATTTTGTTATTTTTTATCACAATTTTTCATAAATTAATTCTTTTCAATGTTAACTGTTTGAATAGAATATTCTATTTTCATGTAGGGAAAACAACCGTGTTTAATGTTGCGCAATTTGGTAAAGATTTCTCGCCAACATATACTATTGGTACGGAGATGGCAGTCATACCAGTGAACAATATTTCTATTATGGCTTTCGATGAGGGTGGACGTTGTCGAACTCGTACTCTTTTGCGTACTTTTTACCGTAGACTTCCAGGACTTATACTAGTGATCGATTCAACCGATAGAGAAAGCATTAATCAAGTACGAGATGATCTTTTTGGAATGTCAAACGACGAAGAACTTCAAAATAAGTCTATTCTTATTTTTGCTAATAAACAAGATTTACCTAATGCAATGTCACCGAATGAGATACATGAGAAACTCAATTTAACTAAACTTGATGAACATATGAAATGGTATCTGCAACCAGCTTGTGCCATTCGAGACGAAGGTATTCGCGAAGGTTTAGAATGGTTAGCAAAGTCTATGGTTGAACATGTTGATCTAACTGAACCGATCAAAGAGACAATGACAGATTTGACCAAATGGAAAAATCAAGCAATGTCTCTATGGAAGACCATGAATTTCAAATCACTTTGGGATACTTTTAGTCGATTCTTTTAATTCAAAAGAAATGTAATATTTTTAAGGACATGTAAAATAGAATATAATAATTTTTCTCATTTATTTGCTAATTTTCGATCGAAAAATAAAAAATATTCATATACGATTTCTAAGATGTGATAGACTGGGTTTTATTTAATAATAAAAAAATGCGTCTGGAAACATTTATTTCAACGACATTTACACGTACTACTGGGTGTAGATAAAGATAATATATATTGAATTTTAGTCATGAGTTCCTGTTAGGGTGGAGAATTATCCGAATTCGGATCATTTTATTGGGAGAAGAAAACTATTTCAACAAATGATGGAGATAAAATATATTCTTATAGTCTTTTGCAACCTTGATGTTGTAATTATATTCTAATTTTCAGCTTGTGACAATGGTTATGTTCATTGTTTATTGGGTTGTGGCGCTGCTCTTATTTCTTGATCTTTAAATTATCATGCTGCTCCTTGTTTTCATGTTTCAGACACAGAGCTACAAATTTCTACCAGAATGATATTGAGCGATGGATTGCTTAAGCTTACTGATGTTTGACAGCCTTTACTGTGCGTGAATTCATTATCTCATACTCTAGCTCTATTTATTATTATAGTAACTACATCACAATTTAGTTTAGTAGCACATTCATCGAATAAGCGTGCCATCATTTTCCACTGAATGTTTATAACACGGCTCAAATATATATTGTAAATTCTGAATTTTTGGCAACACTTGAACTTTTAAAAGCTAAAATGTCTTTGATTTGTATTGTTTCAATTTAATATTCTATGGTAACATTGTTCTTTCTCTGTAGAAATACGATCAGATGATAAATTTATTCGATGTTTTTGAAAACCTACAAAATTCTAAAGTAATCTGGGTAAATATTATGCAGGTCCTCCCGCCATCGTATAAATTTGCTTTTTTTATTAATTAAAATTCAAATCTTCGTTCAAAAAAGATTTATGGTTATTGATGTTCCTTGAAACAATTTGATTATATAAGCTTTTTCATCGTAGGGAATTGTGTTATTCATGGCAAAGACATATCTTAACGATCTCATATTTGTCATTTGATATGGAATTGACGACAATAGATTCGAAGTAATTGATAAATATTGTAATATTGGCGAAATTCTCATGATTTCTAATGGTAATAGAATCGTTCGAATTTGATTATAATTCGATGTAAGTCTTTGCAATACTTGATATTCACCAATACCGTTGAGTGTTGTCAACAAGTTATTACCCAAATCAAGTTCACGAATATAGACAAGAGATGGTTGAATGATATTGCCTTGAAATTGATTATTACTCAAATCGAGTACGATTAAGTTTGGTAGATCAGTGGATATTGTAGTTGGTAATGATGAAAGTTGATTGAATGACATTTTTAATGTTTGTAATCATTTCAATGTTAAAATACTAGTCGGAAATGAATTCAATTGACAATTGGACAAATAAAGTTGAGTTACTTGTGGCGTATCGGTAAATACAAGCGCTTGTAGGCGTGGATTTTCATTGACATTGACAGTTGCTAATTTTGGTAAAGTCGTCAATGAAATCGATTCAAGAGCTGCACTCGACGTAAAGGTAACAGAAGTTGTATCAGTTAAATTTGTCAATGTGACTGTTTCTAATTGATCAGTATTGTAGATTGATATTGATCGAAGAGCAGCAATATCTTTCATGATAATCGAAGTCAATGGTTGATTCAAACTGACTTCTAGCCATTGTACGACCGAATTTTGAATCGTCAATGTTTTTAATGCACTATTTCCCTTAACATTCACCGAATACAATCTAGGCATATCGTTGATTTGGAATCGAACTCATTGCCAAATTCGATGAGATGACTAATGATGATAATTGCTGTAAGTTTTTCAATTGTAAATCAGATAAATTCGTATTTGTTAATTCTAAATTAGTTAATTTTTGAAAACTTCCCATTGGATTTGGATGTTTGGACAATTTAGGTACGTCGATAAAGTTTAATGTGCGTAATTCAGTTAGTCTAGCAATACTAAGAGGAGAAATATTTTCTAGATTTGGTATTTGTGCCAAAATTAACGATTGCAATCGAGACAATAGACCAATTTGAACAGGTAGAGATTTTAGATTGTTGATTTTAGTGAATGATAACGTCGATAACCATGACAACTGTCCAATTTTACCTGGCAAAGATTCACCGATCATACCATTATCAGTATCGATTCGTAGGAGTGTTAGATTTTTCAAATTTGCTATATCTGGTAGCAGTGTAAGATTTGTATTGCCTAATTCTAATGATAGTAAATTTTTCAAACAGAAAACATATTCTGATGGATTTACATCGTTGACAATGATCATTCTTGTTGCTTGTTTTAGTTTTGAATCATAATCAACTGATGATGCTGTCGGTACGTAATAGAGACGTACAAAAAAACGGATTCATATTGATAAAGTCGATATCATTCGAATAGATCGAACAATCAACTGACCCATCGACGCCTAAAGAACGAACTTTTTTTTATTCAAAAACAAACAATCAAATTAACTCACTATAAATATCAACGAATAATAGACATACGAATAATAAGAATGCGAACACTTTCATCATTCTGCTCTTCTTGTAGCAAGTTTGTTTTTGTTCGAATTTTATATGTCAGATTTATTTGCCAATACCAAATGCTCGTTTTTCCACTATTATGACTCACGATTATTACGATTGCACATCAGCTGAGTAGATTCTCAGATGCCACATCATTGTTAACAGCAAATATTTTCTTGATAAGTTAACAAATTGACATACTAGTATCCCTCCTTTCACAAGATCGAATTGAATATTTACTTTGATTTTTCATATAAATACGAGACTTCTATTATTTATTTAAAAGTTTTTCTCAATAGTTCATGATACATTTGCTGTTTCATCGACTGATCTTAAGTATTGTGATTCTAATTAGAAAGCAACCACTGAGGATGTGAGTGTGCGTGAGTTTCGCTGTAAAAGTGGACCAACCATGACACCCACACCCTCAAAATTTTGAACTCTATTAATGGATTAGATCTTTTAATAAAATTATGAAAAAAACATGAATAAAAACATATTATCCTATTTATTGAATTTGATAATACTTATTCATTTTTTTTATAAAGGTCATTGTAAAATATATTAGAAAAAAAAATATTTACCTATATTTATTGTGATTGAAGAAATAGTTGCACGTAATCCATTGAATTGTTTGAGAAATAAAAAGAATGATGGATGAATACACTATTCTGCATATGTTTAATAATAGACCATTCATATATAAAAGAATAGAATATTAAAAATTTTTAAGAGTAAAGGAGCTTATATGTTCATATGATGTTTTTTTTATCATAAAAACATCGAATATTTGTACGTTAATATGAAATAATAAAAGAATTAATTATTTCTGAAATATTATTTAATGATGATTGACGTTTTGCACAAATGTATAAAAATAAAAAATATTTTAAATTAATTATTTTTGAAGGTAAACAATATTGACGAATAAAATTTGAATGCATCAATGAATTTCTAGTTTTTGTAATATGATAGGTTTAAATAAATAAATTCAAAATCAGTACAAATAAAACTTTTCAATGTCAAACCATTTCAATTTTGGTATCGATTTTAAAAATAATCAATTACACAATTTAAAATCTTTTATTTTGTTTAATAAATGAACTATTAAACTAGTACATTAAATATCTCTTCTTTAGTCTAATTAAATTTGATTTACTCTTACCTTATATCGAAATTTACTATCTGATTAACCAGTGAAAATAGAAATTCGTTAAGAAAGAATTCAAGTTTTTTATTATTGGCAAAATGTTGATAGATTTATAAGGACATTACTTTTTAAAAAAACGAAGGATCATTCTAATAACAAACTAATTAATCCAGATTTTAAAAAACTCAAATATGAATCCTTCATCGTTATGAAAACTAACAGAAAGGAGAATTATGTTTAATGGACAATAGTGAACGTTCAATATAACTTTTCCTTCATCGATATTACAACTATCCTTTATTAAACTTTGTAAATTCTTCAACAATACTAGAAATTTTACATGAAATCAAAGATGTGATCATGAGTAAGACCCCGGGCGAGTCGTTATCTTCCAATCTTGAGAAGTATCGGATTTCTTCAGTAAGATTGCCGTGAAAATTTTGTTTTTAAAGCTGAAATTTCAAAATATCATACGAAATAGTTATCTGAACTATGAAGAATAGTGTCCAACATAGGTCACTTTTTTGTGACCTAACTCAACCCACTATGAGGGATTGTTTTCAGCCAATCAAAACGAGTTTTTTTGTCAAGCATTGACAATCTTCTCTAAAATTGCCGCTTTTCTTATGTGAAGTTCGTAATTCATGAACTTTATGTGACCCGGCTCGATCTAGCTCAAGATCAAGTATGTTTTTTTTGTGATCTGATCTGAGGTCTAATTGAATCCGAGCCGGACACTGCTGAAGAACTCAAACAGAATGCATTGATTATTCATCAACACCATCATATTACCACGCCAATTACTGTTTTCCATGTATTAATCAGTATAAAGATGTTACTATTCTGCGGTATACGACCACGATCTATACAATATCTGTGTTCAATGTACAAAAAGAAAGTAAAGTTTATGACTGTTATATAAGATCTTTGACTCTGATTCATTTATATATATTCAATATCCTGTTTGAACCATGAATTATTATCGTTACCTCATATACATCAACGTTGATGAGCTTAATGAAATGATAAGAGATCTATTATAAATACTGTGCATAATGATTTTGTAGAATCTAAGTTTTCTATATGTTTTCTTATGCTACAACATTTTAGCTTGATCTGTTGTTAATCACGAGAAATTAGACGACAAATAAACTGCCGACTATCGCAGACTAGCTGCAATTTATACTTGCATTGCTGGCACGTACTCTAATAGACAGAATAGAGATCAATCTTTGAATTAACTTGGCATTCAGCTTGCATCACTTCCAGTTGATCGTCCACATACTGCTCGTTTTGTTTAATAACATTGCTAGTACTTACATTTGATTGGTTATTCCAAAAATAGACTCAAAGTTTGTAGTAATGCATTAGAAACTTATTTGAAACATATACCATAAGACCATGCTAATATTGCTGTTCTCTAACGGTAAAATCATCGAACTCTGTGATAAATTAGGTCGATTAGATGAATCATTCGATTTGCGCTATAAAAAACTTGATATTTATCTAACTAACTTACCGCCAAATGATCCTAAAATTGATATTAGTTACAATGCAATAGCTGCAACTCTAACTACTTTACTTCGGTATTAAGAAGCAATAGAATGTGCACTGAAAGCTGCGGAGTTTACTTAAAACGTAATTCGGCGAAAATCATCTTGCGACCCGAACTCATTGTAAAAATTTGGAGTAAATATTAAAATGTCTGTCTTAACAAAATTAAAGGAACTATCGTTTTCAATAGTATAAATAAGGGGTTGCATCAAACTAGTAAAAGTGTAGTCACATAGTGAATTCAACATCTTATTCGATCTTTCGAGACACGATCTATAAACTGCACTCTCATAGCATGTTAGTGAGAAGATCCACACGAATTCCGAAGTTTTATAATAGTAAAAACTAATATGTGAGATCTTCCGTGTATCAATAGCACAGCAGATTCAACCAATCATTTCAATAAGATCTAATTAAAAATGCATGGATGTCATAGAGAAAAGTGACTGGGAGTTGAGCGATGACAATTCAAGGCCAAAGTCAATCGCACACATTCTCAATATATTAACACTCGTTTTAATAGATTTATTTATAAATGTAGATCAGTATAATTTTTACAGAATTGCTGATATCTGTACATTCAGATTTGGCTCCCTAGATTTGAATAAAAAGGCACTAAAGAAAAGAGCCAAAAACAAGGAGATGTATTTGATAGTACTCAGGCCCAATGTGAAAACATATAGAAACGGATGGCAATAGCTGCCATCTTTATTTAATGCCTTCTGTCCAAATATGATGCCCTAAGAAAATCATTGTAAACAGCCGTTTGATATTCAATTTTGTTTTTGTTAATACTTACCCAAAGATCCCATATTAAGAAGAACATACCCATGTCGTGAAAATCGCCGCGATTTCGGTGATTTATCGAAAAAGGAACGTAAAATCGCGATAAATCGAATTATGTTGAAAAATCAGCGATAAAATCAGATTTCATCGCGATATTGAA